CCCACAACATGGACGAAATCCTCCAGCGGCTCACCGAGGTTAGCATCCGCCAGCAACAAATCGTTGAGCGCCCCGCCACCCGTCAAGGGGAGACAGAGCAGGAGCTTGCGGCCCTGCGTGCCGCCGCCGCTCAACGCGTTCCGCTGCCGGACCCCCGAGTACAGGCCGCGCGTGTGACCGACCAGCCCCACAGGAGCACTGCACGGACCCTCTGCACTGGGAAGACGGAAGAGAGCACTCACGGCACCGGAGCACCTACCTGGACCTTTCTCCCTACCACCCACCACACCAATAAATCCACCCTCCGGGGTATTGATTAAGATTTCCTTGTCGTGTGATTCTTCACCCCGTTACAGTTGTTAATAAAGTCTTACTTGTATCACACTTGAGGTTGTTCATTGTTTGCTCATAACTGGAGTCCGTAATCTTGCAGATTTTTGCTACATGCTCTGAGTAGTATTGTACAGTAAGAAAGTTATTTTCCTTAACCAGGAAATTAACATTCTTAGAATTGACAGACAGTTGACACTGAGATGTCAAGTAAATACATACAGTGAATCTAAATATTTATAATTATTCATAACTAGTTATAATTAATTATTCATATTTCCCCTTTGAGCTGATTCGCTACAGACCACAGCCTGGTGGCTTGGATCTCATAATTGGCTCATGCTTTCTAGGAGCCCTCATTACGGGTGCTCCGGAGCTGGGCTCGCAGAGCAGCTTTGTTCTGCACTTGCTTATAGCACAGTGCCATTGGATACATTCCCCAACAGGAGAGACTGTTTCAAAGGGAACGCTCCAGTTACTAACGTAAGCTTGGTTCCCTGAGATATGGGAACGAGCGTTGCATAGCCTGCTGTGCTATAAGGCTGCACACGAGTCGATGTCTGTTGCTATCAGTCAAAAGATTCTGATGAAATGGCACTCAGAGCCAATTTATAGCAGTCAGATCCACCTGTTCTGGCGGGATGATGCGCCATATGTTCAAATGAGGCTTCAGTATTCAGAGTAAACAGGAGTTTCCCCCATACATGTCCTTGACGCAACACTCATTCCCTTATCTCAAGGAACCAAGGTTACCTTAGTGACCTGAGCGTTTGTACAGTAGAAAAATCATTACGCCTATTGAATGCCCCCATAATGATAGGAATACCAGTGTGTGTGTGTGTGTGTGTGTATGGGTGAGATGATCTCATGTATGTCCACATGTCTGGATAAATGGCTCATTGAGTTAACAATGGTGTAATGTGCTTTAGTGCTTTAATACATGGTATTTGCATGTCTACATTGCATCGAGTGATGGGTTGTAACCTAACTAGATCATAACTAAACTAGAAAAAAGATGTGCTGTCATTATAATGAATCAAGGTGTCAACACTGTAAATGACAGACTGCAGCCTACAAACAGATGCATGTATGAAACAAATTCATGCTGTAACCTCATCCTATGTAAAATAAATATTATTCTCTTTGATTCTTACAGGAATTTAAGATAAAACACATTAAAGCACTTTGTTACAGTGAAAATTTCATCAGATTATTGTAATATGTTTTTTTTTCTAGAGGATCAATGTAACAGATATATTGATCCAGTTAAACAGAGATCATATCAGAATGAATCAAATACTTACAGCCGAGCGCATATCTGCATCTATTGAACCATCTCTCATTTGTCATCACTTGTAACACTGGTAAAAGGACAACAATGGTGAATCCTAAAACAGGACAATAATTATTTTAATGTTGGATATTGTAATTCAACAAGCAAACCATAAATGAACATCAGTCTCTGTGAATAAAGAGTGTGTTAAAATGGCTCTATAGAAGAATGAACATATAATGTCCAAATGTGTTAATCTGAACCCTCAATAAAATGGACACAAACCATTATAATTATGAACTCACCTGCTTTGGCAGATCCAAACGTGTAGAACAGGAGGATGAATTGTAAAGTAGGCAGAATTTCAAAGATAATTTCAGCCACAATGTCAAATATTTTAAGTATTTGTCCTCTTTTGTTTCCAACCTCTATAACTAAAACTAAATGAGAAACATTTTCAATAATTAACATCTTATTTGATTCAGTTTTGAGTAATTATAATTCCACGATAACAGGACAGAATAAAAAAAAACTGTAAAATAAACAACAAAAGCAGGTGAACTGAGTAAATCAACGTGAGAGTTTTGATATGAAATATATAAATATATATGAAATATATATAATATAATGAAAACACCTATATGTACTATTTCTATGACAACTGAAAACTACAATATCAGATCTGTACAATAAAACATGTTTGCATTTTAATATCAAAATCTAATGTGTAATACTACTGAATATACTATTGAATACTATCTATAGCAGGGGTGTCAAACTGTTCCAGGAGGGCCGCAGCCCTGCTCCAACACACATACCATGCAGTTTTCAAATAAGCCTGAAGGACTTGATGAGCTGGATTGGGTGTGTTTAATTAGGATTTAATCTAAACTCTGCAAGGCTGTGGCCCTCCAGGAACTGAGTTTGACACCCCTAATCTATAATGTTCAGATCAGGATGTTCAGATCAGTGTGAATCTGATAAAACATTTAATCTTATTCACTCATTGTATCTGATGACTAATGGGAATAAAACACACAGAAATACTTACGGTAAATGATTTTGGCGAGGCAGGACAAAAACACTATTACAAACAGTACTATTATCACGACTCTGTCAAACTCAGCATAATTTAGAAGCTTTTCCCAAGCACTTGTAAAAAGAGCTGAAAGAAAGGAAGATATAAAAAGGAACTATCATCAAATCACAACCAAAATATGAGTACAGGTTGGAAAGTGAAAGTGACATGACGTGTAGCCAAGTATGGTGTCCCATATTCAGAATTTGTGCTCTGCATTTAACCCATCCAAGTGCATACACACAGAAGGGAGTGGTGAACACACACACAGTGAATTCACATCCGGAGCAGTGGGCAGCCATTTGTTGTGGCAATTAGGGGTTCAGTGCCTTGCTCAAGTTACTGAAGGTGGGAAACTGTGCTGTTCATTCACTCCCTCCACCTATAATTCCTGCTGGTACTGAGACTCAACCCCACGACCTTCGGGTTACAAGTCCGACTCTCTAACCATTAGGATACAGCTGCAACTGACAAAACACTCTTATCATTTAACTGATGGTTTTTATGTACAACTTCTTGCTGTATCATAATTTACACTGACAGTCTTTGTTATATTATATTATATTATATCATATCATATATCATATCATATCATATTATTTCAATAATCCAATTGTTGTATATTATAATCAATAAGATCATAAGACAGTTCAGTCCTATAAACATACAGAGATTCAGCACTGAACACATGTAAGATCTATTATAATAATAAATTAGGTACCATGTAGAGCTGCTTAATCTTTCTGCATTATGATTCATGTTGTGTTACTGTTTCAGATTTGCGGAACAATATTCAGAACATTCAAATTCTAACAAGCACATTTTTTGTTTATTTCCATTAATGTGCACTTTAATGTGTTTATGATAATGATGGGCATTTACCTGAATAAACAACAACTAAAAGAACAGTATATTCTACAACAGAATTATAATTCAGAATCCATGTTGCAGTGTAGCCTGTAAAACAGAAAATACTTAATGATTACAATCACAACATCAACATACCGAAACACTAAAACACAATGTAAATTTAAAGTTTTAATCAACTTTCTTTTGGTAAATCACACACATAAAGATGTTTGAACATCTGGGCATTATAATCCATTTTGGTAACAATTTGCATATGCTCCTGATCGCAACATGAATCAGAAAATAAAAACGGTGCATTTTAAATGCAGATTTAGTTTTTCTGTCACCTAGCATACAGATGTCCTCAATGCTAGCAGGCATAGACTAAACATTTTGATTTCATGGGGTCTTTAATGTCTTTTCTTTGCATTATTAGTGTTCATAAATATTGTAGCCTCACAGCCAGGTCCTCCTTGTTCTTCATTATTTCTTCATTTAGACCTTCCAAAGAAGTTTCTCTGGGCACTCAAGGACACGTCTCAGTCTCGTCTCTTCTTTAAACAATGTTATGTGTCTTATTCCCCCTCTGTCTGTCTCCACAGCCTCGTGAGAGAGGACGCATGCGATTCCACAAACTGCAGAATGTGCAGATAGCACTGGATTTCCTCCGACACCGGCAGGTACGAGAACATCTCAACTTACAAACTATATTAAAAGGATAGTTTGTCCAAAGATGACAGTTGTCCTTATTGTCCTTATTCAACCTCATTTGTTTTCTTTCATCCATGGATTACCAAAGGAGACATTTAGCAGATTGTCCTAGCAGCTCCCTTACATAAAGTGACCATATTTTGGTCACAGCAAAACTGACCATCAAAGAATTGGGTAACACTTTATTTTGATGGTCCCTTTTGAACATTCTGTTGACAATAAGTAACGTTGCACCTACATGTCTTCTAACTCTCATTAGACTGTCTCCTTAATATCTGCTAAATTTTTATTGTGATGGTCTCCCAACAGACATTATACTGACTATAAGTAACTTTGCAAGTACATGTCAACTTATTCTAACCCTAACCCTACCAGCAGGGCCATCGCTAGTCGGGTTAAAGGTGGTAATGATTATAGGGGCCCACAACTGTGGGGCGATTACAACCGACTGCCTTCAAACAGGTCCCATGGGTACAACCTGCACCGGGGCCCCGCAAACCCCAGCTACGGCCCTGCCTACCAGTCTACTTATATTTTAACACTCTAATGGGAGTTAGTAGACATGTAGGTGCAACATTACTTATAGGCAACAGAATGTGTTAAAGGGACCATCAAAATAAAGTGAAACCTTAATTTTCTGATCTCTTTAATAAACTGATCAAATGAATCATACCTGTGAACTCATGTACATATGGAGCCACCCAAAGCAACAAGAGAGGCCTCAGAAAATAAAGAGCACAACAAGAGACTGACTCATTCAGAGACCCTAAAACAAAACCAGATAATAATATGAGCTGCACTAATAAACAAATATTTTACTGACGATATACTGCTTCAATAGCCAATCGATACTGAAACACTTACCTTCAGAAGCACCCCAAAGGACAAAAGCAAGAAACATCAGAATATTTGGACAGAAAACTAGAAACATCTGAAGATAGAAAAATAGATCTAGAGAGAAAATACAAAATAACTCAAATTAAGTCAAATAGTTAAATTATGTTTTAATGAAATATTGGTTCCACTTTATATTGGGTGTCTTAAATGGCAATGTATGTTACATGATGTTCTGCAAAACTCTTATAAGATTCACAATAACTGCTACTGAGGTCAAGATACGGATTGGGTTAGGGTTAAGGTTAGGTTTATGGTAAGGTTAGTCAGGTTATGGTCAACAATGTTTTTCCAGATACAATTACATGCAGGTAATTTAAATGTATGTACAATGTAAAAATTACTATAATATTTTTTTAAAGTCATAAACGGATGTAAATTACAGTCAGTAACAACATTTAATACTGTTTGTCTTTTTTGATTGGCAACGGAATAAACAGCAGAGAAAAGTACAAATTCGTCACGTGTATTTATTTATTCTAGATCTCAATGACGTGTGGGAGGAAAGACACTATATTTATTTGGAAACACACTAAACAAACAATTAAATAAATCTATTAATTCAGGCTACAAGATTATGTCTTTTTTTATCTGTTGACTTACCTTGTAGTCTCGGTATCAACTTTGACTCAGCTGAAATTACATGTTTCTTTTTGGTGTTAACTGTACATAAGTATTGTCCCTCATCTTCAGCTGTCAGATTGTCCAGACGGAGGGAGAAGTTTCCATGTTGAATTTGGTCAGTAAAGAAATGAGCTCTATCATGATACTCCTGCTGAGTTCGACTCTCACCATCCAGAAACAGATGAACCAGAGTCTCTGAGTCTGCTCTTCTCCATTCCACCTTCAGATCCTCCACTGGTAAAGGTTCAATAATATAACAAGGCAAAACCACTGAAGATCCCAGAAATGCAGGTGTGTGACGAGAACATTTAACATCAAACCCTGGAAAAAATAAAATAAAATAAAGTGAAATACCTGTTTAGGCAAATGAACAGTAATGACTTTGTGCTTTGTGTATAAATTCTCCTTATTTGAGCATTCATGTATTAAGGGTACAGAAGATACAGGACCCTATTGTTTGTGTTTTCTCCTCTTGTTATCATACTACAATGGAAATCATTATTTAAAGAACTTAGCAGATAGATATTTATGAGTAGAAATGAATAATTATGTACTGTATGTGAAACAGTCTGCATTATTTTTTAGTCCTGTTTTCTGTGCAATCTTTTGTGGAGATTGTTGTGCCAACTGTTCCTTTTTTCTCTCCACAAAAGTCTATTTTAGTGGTTTTATTTTTTTATTTTTTATTGTTTTGACAGTATCAGTTAATAACATTATTTTAGATGTATTTTTAATTTGGTATGAAACACCTCTCAGACACACACACCCGCAACTAAAGCATCTACGGTCCAGAGATGTGTTTTTAAGTACCATAGTACTTTCAAACTGAATATTTAAAACATGAGCAGTCCAGAGATGTATAACAATATCAGAGAATTATACTTATGCCGGAAATGACCATAATGTTAATCTGGAAATACAATTTTTAAATTTACATCATATATTGATCAGGGCTACAATAGTAAGTCCAGTTATTTTCCACTTACCCAGTATCACCTCTGTGTCTGCTGAATGCACACAATCCTGGTCACTGTAAACTTTACAAGTGTATTTTCCAGCATCTTCGGCTCTCAGTTTTTCCAGACAGAGGGAGAAGTTTCCATCTTTAATCTTCTTCTTTAAAAAATGAGCTCTGTGATGATAATCTTTGTGCTGTTTCTTTGGTCGACTCTGACCATCTTGATACAGGTGAACCAGAGTCTCTAAGTCTGCTCTTCTCCATTCCACCTTCAGACTTTTCTGTAACAAGCTTTTGTCAACACGACATAATAAACCCACTGAACCTCCCAGGGCAGCTGTCGGATGACCAGAGGAATTTTTTACTTTGAACTCTAAAAAGGAACAGACACAATGGTTCTAATGTTATATATCCTCCTGACTACCAGGAAAAAAAAGTTTTGTGAATTTAGTATTTTGTCATGTCATTACGTTGTTTAGAGCAGGGGTGGGCAAACTTGACCCTTCCAGGCCACTTTCTTTCAGAGTTTAGCTCCAACTCTAATCAAACACACCTGAACCAGCTAATCACTGTCTTCAAGACTACTAGAAGGCTACAGGCAGGTGAGTTTTAGCAGGGTTGGATCAAACCTCTGCAGGAAAGTGGCCTGGAAGGGCCAAGTTTGCCCATCACTTGTTTAGAGCATAAAAAAATATTTGAAAAAAAAAAAAAAGATATTTATGCCATGTCCTCTGTAGAAGACATCGGGACTATAAAAAATCCTGTTTTTTAAGAAATAAAAAGACATGAATAGACATGAAAAGGCAAAAACAGCGGGATTTTTGTTTTCAAGTGGGATTTTTTTTTGTTGTAATCACAAATCAATTTTCATTTTTATACCAAACTTTATATAAAGACGATTCTCAACTATGTTTTTCTTTATGCAAAATGCGTGTAAAATGGCCATAAACAAGTTTTATATACAATGTATCTATAAACTGTATCTAATTTGCATATTAATGTGTTGTTGGGGCAACATAGAATGAACAAATAAGTGCAATAATGGGAGTAATAATTAGCAAGGTCATAATAATATCTAATATTTAATAGGAATATTGATACATAATTTGTTCTCTATTCATTTGTTGTGTCTCCCAAAATGTGTAATAAACATGCTTTAAGTCCTGGTGTCCTCTACAGTGAAATTGATGTCCTGTTTCATAACAGAAGGTCATTTTTGTCATGTCATTACATTGTTTAGAGCATAAGAAAAAATTTGAAAAATAAACATTTTGAAAAATGATATTTTATTCATATGTTATGTTATGTCCTCTGTAGAGGGCACCAGGACTTTCCTGTTTTAAAAATAAATAAAAAGACATTAATAGACATGAAAAGGCAAAAACTGAGATTAAAAAAAAAAATCCCCAATCCATTTTAATTTTTTCTACCAAACTTTGTATAAAAATGATTCTCAACTATATTATGAAAGATATAACAGAATGATTTGATATACCATTTTGCTTTATGCAACATGTGCGTAAAATAGCCATAAACGGGTTGTCCCATTATGTACAATGTATACACTGTATATCATTTGCATATTAATTTGTTTTTGGGGCAACATGTAATGAAAAAAGAAGTGTAATAATGGGAGTAATAATTGGCAAGATTTTCATAATAATGTCTAATAATTGATCTGAATATTAATATATAATTTATTTCCCTATTTATTTATTTGTTGTGTCTCCCAAAATGTGTAATAAACATGCTTTAAGTCCTGGTGTCCTCTACAGTGAAATTGATGTCCTGTTTCATAACAGAAGGTCATATTTTATTTGAAACCCCATAACATTTTCCTGAGATGTTGATTTATGACAAACAATTTGAAAATTAGTCAGATTTAAATGATAATTACAAAATATTATCATATTTCCATAAGGGTGTTACACTTGATCACTAAATTAATGTCAGACATTTTTAAAGACCAAGGAGAGGGAGTGGTCATGGTGAAACATCCAATCATTTGGTATCTCTGAAAAGCCCTGAATGTGCTCTGTACAGGACATCCAGACTTAAAACTGTGGCATGTAACGTCTCAGAGAAATCACTAAAACATAATGTCCTCTACAGAGGACAAAACTCCATAGCTGGTAGTCAGGAGGATATAGATCTCTCTATAAGGCAAAATACCTTATGTCTCACTATAGAGTGTGAAACTGAGAAAAACGACTTTAAAGATTTTTATTTGTCCAGACAAATTAATTATAGGTAGTAGGACACTGGAAATCGGGCATTTAGATGTTTTAGTAATGAAAATTATCTACATAAAAAAATTGAGCTCAAACTTGATTTTTACTCCTATTTTGAAGTTATTGTACTCTGACTTTGCATTGTCGGCAAAAGGTGAGAAGTCACGCCAAGGCAAATGGCAGTAACGGCCACATTATATACAATATTTGGTTGCTGATCACCATTTACAAAATCATTAGTAACACCTGTATAAAATCTAGTGATCACGGGCTGTCTCATAGGATATAACCAGTGTTGGGGGTAATGCATTACAAGTAACGCGAGTTACGTAATCAGATTACTTTTTTCAAGTAACTAGT